AGGACTTTTATGCTATTGTTGGCATTCCACCATTTTCTACCAAGTAACATGAGCGACTGTAGCAGAATGGCCGAGCACCCTAAGGCGCAAGGCTGATGGACTCAAGTCCCTTCCCCCAGATCCCTCTGGATCTTCACAACCTAGCCCTGCCTCTGGCTTTGGGGCGGCGACTCGGTGGCTTTCACTGCCACCTTCTATCTTCCAGGAAGCACCTCACCGGCCCTTCGCCCCATAAACCTGGAGTCTGAGAGAATCAGGGCTCCGTTCGCAACTTCTGGACGCCTGCCTCTTATCTCAAAACGACCCCGGTATGCCTTTTTTCTACCTGCAGCGGAGAGAGAAACTGGAGCTCTCTGGTCCTGTGTGTGACCAGGAGTCATGTCTGAGTTTGGCTGGGTGGCAGAAGAACTGCGTTCGAAACAAAATCTTAATGGAAAGAGGTAGTGAATTAGTATCCGATAGCCTTTTCGCTGGAAGGACGTTCGCCTGCAACATCGGACACAGCATTTGTTAAAACTCTTTCTTGGCAAGAATAGCGTCGCAAAATATGCGGTCACAGACGGATCCATTGAAATTAGATGTATTAAAGCTGAGAATAAACCTGAGATGCAAATGCTATCAGTGAGGCAGTTTAGGATTGGAACGTTGTATTTTATACTGCAGTATATTGATAGATACAGCCAGGCCCAGAGGCAGATGCAGATATAGATAAATATAGGTATAGATTTCTAGGAAACAAGAGAAACACAGCAACCTTTCACACGGGTGTTAAATAGCTCTGCGGAAACATAGATTGAAATCACCATAAAACTACGTTCTGTGGCTGATCAGGCCGAAAGTTCCAACAGTCATTGACTTCTCTGGTTCCTCGAGAAAGTAATTCATCAAGGAAACTGGGTTTGTCTCAGTTCCAAATAAAGATCTAAAGATGGATTGAAATGGATCTGGATAATACTTTTACCCAGAAAAAAGTGAGAAGCCACCATATACTTGAGAACCAAAAATAGAATAGAGGGCCATCAGTGTCCTGTCCTTTTTTAAAAATAATACTTTTATTAGATGTTACAGTTAAAAAGATACAAACTAATACAAACTAAAAGAAATAATAAAAGAGTAAACAAATCCATAAAACCTCATTCTTTCAGTCTTGATGTCAGCAAAAGTCCATTAAGGGTTACCAGGGATAGCAACACATCTATTTTAGCCTTGAGCAAATAAACTAACTTTACATTCCTTCCTTTCACTTTTGACAAACTTGGTCTTTAATCCCTTCAAATAACGTCCTAGAACTTGATTTCCTTTCATGTTTTCTTTGTCCCTTCTCACAAAATCCTTCAAAACTTTAACAAGCCTCTTTTGTAACTCCAATATTGGAAAATAATCCAAGTCACTCTTCTGGTTTGTTATTTGTATGCCCCTTTCAATTATTAAGACATCAGCCAGTTTCATTTGTATATCCAGTATATCATCTTTTTCCGTATCTGATCTGCGGGGGATGATGTTCCAAAGGGCAGGTGCTGCGACAGAAAAGGCTTTCCTCCTGGCCCCTCAGATGATGCTCCTTAATGGACAGGACCCGGAGCAGGCCTCTTCTGCTGGACCTAATGGGACAGGTAGACATGGTCAGGGAGAGGCAGTCCCTTAAATAACCCAGCCCCATGCCAAGAAGGGCCTTGAAGGTTACAACCAGCACCTTTAATTGCACCCAGAACCCACTGGTAAACAATGCGGCTTGTGGAGCAGAGGTGTAAGATGTACTGATCAGGGAGCGCGCATAACTGCCCGCGCTGTTGCATTCTTGCACCAACTGTTGTTCATTCTGAGGTTACGGTTACCTTCAAATTACTTTTGACGGAAGTGAATGTATGGAAATGCCTTCGTTTTTGCTTGTTTGTTTGTGTGTTTAAACTTCTGAAATGCAGTTTCTATGAGGAATAAGTGTACTGTGACTAGAAATCAGATATGGTGAGGTTCACCTCTGCTTAGTATATGTCCCTCATCTTTGCCAAGAGACATTATTTACACGGACATAATTTTATCTGGACACCTCCCATTGTATACTGTTTGCAAAAGAAACCCTGTTAGGCAAACATCTGATGGTTATCTTTTTCAAGGACAGTTTATTGCTGCTACCATTTTACTTTAGAAGCAAAATTGGGTCTCCCTGTCTGCAACCTTTTGCCCAAGTTAAAGAGAACAGCCTTCGACATGAGAAGGCAGGTTTCCAAAGCCAAAATAAGTGTGAAAAGAGGCACAGAACTGGCTTCTGCTCTGGGTCTTCTGAGAAAGACATCTTAATGAGAGACAACCTCTTCCCTAGCAAAGCAATCATCCTGTCTTGACAGGGAGATCTTAGCAATGAAGGAAACAGCTTTTGCTTATACTATACTTCATAGTATTATTAGTGGTAATAGTATAGTAGTAGTATTCTCTGCCTGCTTTTCTATTCTCAACACACACACACCCCGTAGACTTCCAAAGTTCTTTCAACATTCATGAAGCCAAAAGCCAGGAACAATTAATTTCTCCGATGTAAACAAAGAATCTAACAACAGTGATTTCCTGGCTCTCAATCTCTTTGATGGATTCATGTAAGAACTTCAGTATTGCATTCAGATCTGTTATTTCTACTGCAGCTTATTCACTGCTCCTTGCACATCCAGCACTAAGAGCTGGTTTGTGATGGAAATGCAAAGAATTTCCTGCAAAATATTGAGATTTAATGGACCCTGACTGAACTCCGTTGTCTGGTTCTGGCTTCTGCAGAGCAATTAAATAGCCTTTTTTCAGGCTACCAAATCCAGCTGCAAAAATGCAGAGGAAGGCCAGAGAGCAAGAGAGAGTTCTGGTTTAGGGACAGAAGTGTTGTTAACGGCGACCATGATCAGCGCTCTTTGACTCCAACACAAAGTTCTCTCCTGCAAAATGAGAGTCCTTTTCGGCTAGTTGGTGGCCCATGATCTGACACTTTGGAAGCAAACCTGGTTTGTTTTCAGGATTTGTTCTTTGAATTTCAGATCTGTAATTAACCACCAATGGATTTCTATTTTTGGAAGTGTGCGAAGTTACTTTGGAAAAAGAAAAGATAATGCTAGCATTTGATGGTTCTTTCTGCTCCATTCTACAGGGCAGAGACTTAAACCTTAGTCAATTTTTTTTAATAATCCCCTTTCTGCTGCTCATATTTTCATTTTAGACATATAGACGATCTTTTTCTATAACACGAGAGTGATCATTCTCAGATGTTTTCAATATGAAAGCTAAGTACATTTTATTTTGATGCACAATGATGCTTTGAGTTGTGTAAAAATGGGAACATCCCAAAGAACTAAAACCTTCAGAGTTGTTCAACTTTTCTTTTCTTCCCTTTACGCCTCCTGTACATTTTTGCTTGCGAACAACTCAGCTTTAATAGATGCCTGTGGGTGACAGATTTGCCTGATACACCAGGACACCTGAAAACCTTCACAAATTATACACCACTAAGTAACTTGATCCTCACAATACAGTCTGAGGTGGCTCCAAGGAAGGCATGATGGGAAGCGATAGGGCAAGGCAGGGCAAGTGATGAAATATGTGTCACAATGTCATGATGCAAACTCTGCCTCTTTGTACTCGCATTGCAACAGTGGGGCAGAGTTTGTGTTGCAACATCATTGCACATTGCACAAGTTTCATCACTTCGCTGTTCTCATAGTTAAGAACAGACGCCTACATAGGGTACCACAAGCTGGCAATATCTTGGCTACTCCCCAAGTGCCTTATGCATGTTCCGTGTTCAGAGCTAATATCATGGTGCTAGGAGAAAAGGATTGCATTTCTTCACAGCTGTGCTTGGCCCCACTTCCTCATTGTTTAAGGAACCTGTGGAAACAAACTCTGTCCCCAGGCTTTTGGCTGATTAGTTGACTTTACTACTCTAAAGTCCATTGTTTTAATGGACCACTTGGGGAAAGATGTGTCTGTTAAATCCAAATGTCTGCTAAATCCAAATGTCTGTTAAATTCTAATTGGATATAATTGATGTAAACAAGTAGCTGATACTTTTATGACATTTGCCTCAATTTATGTCAATCATGTAATAATTATACAGTAAATTGAGGCAAATGACATAAAAGCATCAATTACTTCACAACGTCAATTGTTCAGACAGGCTCCAATTAAAAAACAGTCAAAATATCTGTAATTTTACAGGTGAAGTCCAAATACAAATTTGGTCTGTTGTATCCCCAGTCTGCTAAATGAAAGTCTGTTAAACTGAGGTTGCTGTGTATTAATTCTTGTCTTGATTTGAATTTATATATTTTTAAGGTCATTACCGACTTTGAGGACCTAATAAATTACTAAATCAAATAACATCAAAGACGGTAGTTGCAAGTAAGAGAGGGGTCGAGAATGCAAGTTAATCTTACCACCTTTTTTATAACCAGGTTTGGGGAAGGGTAACCCCTTCTGACAAAGGGATAGGAGCAGAGCATGCATCGTTTCATTTTTCCCCATCCGTGGGTAGAGCTGTTTGTGAATTCAAAGAAGGTCTCTAACCATCACTGATGGTTACACTGAATGCGTTATCACAGGTAACAGCATCTTGACCTGGAGTGTGCCTCTGAAAAAAGCACTTGGCTGGGTTTGAACCTGGGCAGAAAGGCCCCCTCCTCTTTCGGAGCTCCCATGCTGGTCAAATAGGAGTCGAAAACACTCCTGGGTGTGTCCCTCAAGCCTTGCACGTCTTCCTGATTGCCCTGAACGTCCAGCGTTTATCTGTCATATGTGACTTAGAGAAAATAAAGGTTTCTCAAGACCAGGCAAGGGGAATATACTACTTGCAGCGTCAGTCAGACATGTGTCCTTGGTCATTGTGGGAGGCCACAGAAGAAAAGGCCTTGACCTTTTAAAGCTGAGCTTGGCGAGGATGAGGCAGGCCCTTTCGGAAGAGGCTGAACCGAGCACAGCCTGAAATTTCAGAGTCCAGGAGGCGAGGCGTTAGCAAAAATAAGGATTAACATGGAAGCCTGCTTCAGAAGCCCTGTTTTACCGAACCTAGGGAAATGCCACCTCCTCGCCTTCCTGGCTTCCCTCTCTTCCTCCCTCTTCCCCTCGTAACAAAGATCGGGGGCCCAGGGTGACTGTTGCAGAAGAAAATAATCCCCTTCAACAATCGCTCGGCTCCATGGCAACCAGGACGTCAGCGTGAGACGGCAGCTGGATGCCATCTGAATCTCGCTTTCCTTGGGATCGGAAGCGTTTGAGGTGAGCAGCGATGGAGCCTGGCACGGGAGACCAGAGGCAGAGCCAGCGCCGGAGGGGAGACGAGAAAGGTAGGGGGCTAGGCACACAGAGCTTAGCTGGGGGGGGGTCCATTCCCGGTGCTTTTCCTGCCCGGGGAAGGGGCCAAGGAAGCGTCCCAAGGGGAGCAACAGTTTGGGAACCCAGAAGACCCAGAAGACCCGGACGACGGATGGCCGTCCTTTGGAGGACCTGCTGCTGTCCATGGTGCTGCAAGTCCCCTCCTTTTCCTATGGCAAAAATGACTTCCAACACTCCCCCAGTCTCCCCCCTCACTTATTCCAGGCAAGTCCTCCCACGAGCTATGAGCGAATGCAGGTATATTGGAGGGCTGGTTGGCTAATGCAAAGGGCTTTCTCCTGAGTAGCAAGCGGGCTTTGTTTTTTTAAAGAAAAGGGATGGGGGAAAAAGCTTTCCTGGTTAGGTCCTGGGGAGGGAGCCACGTGACGCCCATGATTTTCCATGTGATCCATTTTAGGAGTTTGAAAGGGGTGTCAGCACTGAGTTCTGAGCCAAACCTCTATTTCTCTTTCCAGGGAAAGAAGGAAGTACATGTTTGACTTTCATTTAACCCTCAGGGGATTAACCTCCAGATGTAGAGCAAAGGTGAACGTTGGAACTGCTCTCCAAAATGAAGTTTGTCCTTGCAACCAAAATTCTCAATGGGAAACTTTGCTGAACTTCAGAATATGCTTAGAAACAGGTATGATTCGTTCTGTGTTCCTCCTCTGGGGTGATTGGATCAGGGGGAAACATTCCAATTTTAATTTTAACGTTCATTTTCTTTGGGCCTGGCTAGTGTGCAGATATGATCAACCATAGATATTTAAATAAAAAATAAAATCAGTCGAGCTATTGCACAGCCTTTTAAACGCCAGTTATTCTTGTCTTCAGAACAGCCACCAGTGTGGGTTTTTTTCTGCATTGCGTAGAAAGTGAGGTTTTATTTAGGTTTGGGGATATGTAGTTTGCAAGCACAGGATCAAAACTCAGATATTTATTGTGGCAAGTCTGGAAAGGAGATTTGCACAAAAGGGTGGACACTAGTCAAAAGGCACAGTATTGGTGTTGATAGACCAATAGTCTGGATTCGTGCATTTGTTCAATGCCATGACTGCATGCTATTGAACACAATAGGATGCAGATCTGCAGGACTGATGATTTGCACTGAACATTCAGCAGTCAATTACTCCTAAATGTAAAATCAGAATCAAAAATAAATGAGGATTCTCTTTTAAGCAGTACGCCCACTGCTTAAAATGTTGGGATCTGGAGAAAGTAGAAAGATTAACGCCATAGATCTTGAAAGACAGTGGGTGATAGAAATCAGGATCTGGATCTGATCCAAAATCTGGATCAGGTTTTCAACTATTGATGAAGAATTCTGGACTAGAAAGGCTTGGATCTGGTCCCCAAAGATAACTGCTATTTTCTTAAATATAACTAAATTTTTTAAAAATCCCAACAATATATTGATACTTTTAGTGTATTATAAAAACATGCCAAAAAAAATTGACTCAGAGATCTACAGCTCAGATCTTTGTTGATTTCACTGGGACAGATCCCTTAAAAGTAGAATTGAAGTGATAAAAGCTGCTGCAGAATGACCCAGAATCCAGCCACATTCTCTTGTGGAACCCCAACTCTGCAGAAGGACCCTCCATTGTGGCAACCTGAAACTGGATCTCCTAAAATAGACTGGCTAAGCCAGGGCTGAAATTCAGCCAGGTGAAACCATCTCTCTGATTTGGCAAAACCTCAGCAGACCTTTCTGGACAGCCAACCATGCATGGCTTGACTAGCCTCCAGGATGAAACTCAACTCTCAACACGTGACACAGCATGGCCAGATAGAAATCTTGACTGGATGCTAGGAAGAAGCCACTAACATAGTAGTTGATCGCCCTCTGTCCATATGAGGGTACAATCCCCTTTTCGTACCCACTTTAGTTTAATTCCAGTGCTTCCTTCTTAGCCTTCCCATGATGACTTTCACCATCTTTGTGCCCTGCCCTTCTGAGCCTTGAAGCTGGGTAGCTCTTGTTCATTGACACAACTGACATCTCTGTCCTGAGAAACTCATGCAATTTCCCTCTTGCCAGAACTGATTTCTTCAATCATGTTTTCTAAATGTTTGTACGCCTAAGTACTTGAGACAGAGGAATATTTAATCCAATTTAATTAGTTTTCCGTTCAAATTTCATAGAACCAATTAAATAATATAACTTCTTTATTCTTATATAACTAGAAACAATTTGATCTGATCTGATCTGATTTGATTTGATTTGATTTGATACAACTTCAAGGATGTGCATACAGTATACTGCCACTCTCGGTTTTAGAGTTGGCATTTGGTACATCACTGAGAAATTTTAATTCACAGCATGTTTGGGGGGAAAAAAATACAAGTTAAAGCAGCAGATTCCTTTATGGAGATGCAATGCTTGGAAAACACCCAGTGAAAAATCCTTGATACTATACATATTTAATTTATGCAGTATGCAGCTGTAAGATGTCCATTGACTTAGTTGATTTTAGAAGGAAATCAGAAACAAATTACTGAGGGAGAAGACCGTCAGCGGTTCATGCATGAGGGAGAAGATAGTGCTTTGCGCCTGTCCCACTCATGAGTTTCTCACTGGCCTCTGACTGGCCTGGTGAGCAGAAGAGAGACTTTGGTCTGATCCAGAACGGGGCTGAGGCTTCCTTGACTTCAGGGCTGTTTTGCACAGAAGCAGAGGAACCCTCCCTGTTCAGAGCAGAGGATGGTTAATAGAGGAAAAAGCACTGACTTGGTATCTTTTTGAAGGCTCCCTAGGAAGAAATGGTCAAACGCAGAAGCTCCTTTGGATCCTCTTCTGCTTATTTTTCTTTCCAAAAGCTCCCTGCACTTTGGTCCTGAATGTCAAACGCATCGAAATGTTGCAAAAAGTCTGTCCATTTGAGAAAACAAAGTCTTTTCCCATCCTGCTGCCTTCTCGTTTGCGTTAGGACTGAATCGTGCGTTTTTAGTTTATTATGACACCACACACGCTGGGTCTTATTTTGAACGTCTCCTCACGAAAGGCAGTTCTGAAGCTCTTTCGGAAATTAGCAAGAGAAACCACTTCTTCGCCCAAAGAGAATGCTTTAAATAAGCTAATTAGCATTGCCTTGCGACAATTCACATCCTCTTCATGAAAAAGAGTAGAACTGAGTGCTAGAAATCAGGATTCGTGTGCCCTAATCAGCCAATATATTGAAGGCATATCTGATAACCAAAGGGACATTAAATTAAATCCAAGAGCACTATGACAAGATGGATATTCCTCTAAAGAAAGGAGATTTATGTCCATCGCTAAAAAGAGACTGGCTCTGCTAACCCCAGTTACAGAATTTTGATCGATCAGTATGTAAACTGTATTCAGTTCCAATCACAGTGGAAATCAGAAACCCATGTTGGGGTGTGTATATTTTTGCTGGGGATTCAGCTCAACTCATTCAGTCCACCCAGGAGGAATTATGATGCTACACTTGAGGAAGGTGGGAGGGACAAAGCTCAGAGCAGATCCTTTCTGTGGCTGGCTTCCCCCCGAACATTTGGTTGGCCCCCACCTTGACTGCTTTCTGGGGCAATTCTGGAGGGTTTGGAGCCCTGATTCCGTCTTGGTTTGGTTATAAGTCAGTTTTGTCAGTTGAACTTTATTCTAGCTTTTCATTAGATCTTCTGTGGATCTTCTGGGTGTGTATTGTTCCTTGTGTGTTTGATCTTGCAAACTGCTGAGCATCCTCAGGGTTGAGCAGCCTATAAATGCTGATAATAATAATAGTAATAACAGCAGCAACAACAACACAAAATATAAAGACCTGCAAATAGAAATAGAACAACTGTGGCAAAAGAAAACAAAGATAGTGCCAATAGCAACAGGCATCTTGGGTGCAATCCCAAAACATCTGGAGCACCCCTTGAAGACCATCGGCCTTGACAAAATCACTGGCAGTCCATTACAAGAGTCAGCTTTACTTGGAACAGCTTCCATCCTGCGACGACACCTTTAACACCATCGAACAACAACATCTGCCTATCCCAGGTCCTTGGGAAGGAGGTGGGATAGGTGGATAAAAATGCCACATCTAGTCTAAATATCTGGCTGACTGTGCAACCAACCATAATAATAATAGTAATAATAATTTTCCATCTCAAGTGGGAGATCTCTAACCTTGGCAGCCCAGTTGAGTACTAGCAGTGTAGAGCGGAGAGTAGTGAAAGCTGTCTTGGCCCATCTGTGTCTCTGGAAGACGCCAGTTGTAGGGGGTTCATATAGGATCTCATTTGCCAACAGATTAAATTGGCTGTAAATTGTAATATTTCAAGTTATTGAGATCATGTTGTTGTTCAGTCGTTCAGTCGTGTCCGACTCTTCGTGACCTCATGAACCACATCACGCCAGGCTTTTTTTTTGGAGATCATACCTATTGAGAAATCTGGCAAAAAGCTGGATTCCCTATGCAAATCTTTGTCCAGAGAATATAGAACTGCAAGAAATAAAAAATCTGGAGCGTGCCATCTGTATGGCTATAGTTATACTATGCTATTTTCTTGGAAACGTCAGCTGGACCAAGTCCTTTGCATCAGTGTTTAGTATTTAAAACATAAGGGTTCATGGTGTAGGGTCTTCCATCCTGAAACACCCCACCAGAAAGTATTGGAAACCCAGATGCTAAGGGAGGTATTCATCCTGCAGTGCTTGTACAATCACGGCTAGCAGTTACATGTTGCTGTTGGTTTCCTCCTGATCTTTCCATGCAGACTCTCAGCACAAAATGCTTTTGCTGTTCTTTCTAAATGTGCCAACTGTTTATTCTATAAAGAGCAAAGCTTTAAGATTTAATTTATTTGCAGCCTCATTCTTCCTAAGAGTTTTCTAAGGGTTGCCACTTCCCTACTTATTAGGCTAAAACAAAGTTCGATGGCTAACTTGAAACTACAGTAAAGTATTTTACTGCTGCTTTGGGACAAAAAGGGAAAACGAAAGTGCCTACATGAAACATCATGATTTCATGGTGCCCTGGAATTACACCGTCCTGATAAAAAGCTGGAAATTACTTATTCCAGAATGAAAACATTAGTCTTGTCCAAGCACCACAATACCAGTTTGCATCACTGGAAAATTAACAACACCTAAAATGAGTAGGTCAAACACCAGATCATCAACCTCTAAATTCAGGTGCAAAAATCTACCAATGGAATGGCTAAATTTGCTTTGCTACGAAGGCCACGATACTCACGTCCTGGAAGCGCCCAACTTAGCTAAAGCCGAAGTGGCTTGCGGGGCGTCCTTAGCCCACTCTCTGTTCTTGGCTGAAATTCAGCCCAAAGTATTTGACTCCAGCCTGCCAGACAACAATGCTAAATCATCAGATCCCCCTTACGTTGTCTTCCCCAACCCTCCTTGCGCTATCCCCAAATACCTCTGCAATGCCCTCTCTGTCCCACGGAGAAGGACCCTCACTCTGGCAAGATTTCATGACCCGCCCGCCAGGGTAACGGAGGAGAGATGGAACACCAGCCCTTCTCCAAAACATCTTTGCACGCGCACGTCCTGCGCAGCAGCCGCCCCCCCCCCCCCCTCTCAGGCCTGGCATCCCCTCTCAGCAGCGGAGGCTTGCACAGGCCTGTGTCTGAAACGGTGCCCTTTCTGCTGAGCATCAGTCTGGGGTAATCGCCACAAAAGGGGGCAGATTCTGTGCCAACGCTGTTAGAAGACGGCAGGTTCGACGGGAGCGGCTTTGGCCCCAACTCCAGCTAATTCTCCCGGGTGGACCTCCCGCTCACAAATACATCATCCCCTATATGCCTATGCACAGCACTTGCACGCATGCACGCCCGCCCACATGCCCCTTTTGCCCTTCTCCTTTCTCTCCTAGTCTTTTAGTCAATCCCAAAAGTTCTGGTGTGACCCATCGCAGCTATTTCCCCCTTTTTTCTGTTTTTTATTACCTTTTGGGATCTATGATGGACAGCAAGTGAATAAACTAAAACGCAGCCCAGCTTTCTCTGACGACAGCCTGGTTCGGGCACAATAAATTCAGGGCATCTGCAGAGGGGGTCAAAAAAGTCGAGATCCCTGTGACTGAAGTTCCGCCCCATTCTAACGCCGATAAAAAGGGGTGAAGCTTGATTTGCACACTCTAGCCAACCTCTGGCTACTGACAGCCACTGGATTGTGGTAGGATATGCATGCAATACATAAATAAATACACATTTAGTTTTTTTCTCTTCCCAACCTAGCCTTCCACCCTGGGGCTCCCTGGTGGCCTGCTTTCCCATCCAAGTTTGGCCCTACTTAATTTTTTTGGGGGGGAGGGTGTCAAAAACTCTGGTGAGTTTGACCTTATTTTCCCCCCCACGCACAGAAATATTTGCATTCTGCCCCATGGTTCATGCAGCCCCCATTCCGGGCAAGGACTTCTCCAGCAGGAGCTGTCTTTCTTTTCGAAGGACTCATCCTGGGTCAATGCTGGGAAGACCCAGATGGCCATCGGAACACCGATATCTGATCTTTGGTATATGAGGCTTAATTTCAGCCTATTTGACAGTGTTAAATAGTTAACACTATTCAGTGTTAACCTGACATATTTAATTAAAGCCCACACAATTCCCTCTCTGCTCCCAATGAGCCAACCCATTCATTCATTCATTCATTCATTCATTCATTCATTCATTCATTCATTCATTCAAATTTATATGCCACCCATCTCCCCCAGAGGGTGACTCTGGGCACCTCACAATTAAAATCAAACAGTAAAAACAGTAAAAATATTTTTGAAAAATTAATACTCTATAAAAAGACTCAACCCATGCTAGGAAACCTGAAGTGCTCAGCTTGTACAATTTCATTTTCCAAAATGGGGTGCTGAAACAAGGAAGTTCCCCAATGTTGGATATCTTTTGGGAGATATCCAAATCAGTGTTCATGCTATGCCGTGATTCACTCGTCCTTTCCCTTTTTTCCTTCTGGCGCCTGCAGAAGAACTGCATGATGTCCTGTCTGAGATCCAAGGGATCCCATCCAAAGGATCCAGGAGGTCAGCAATCTTGGGCTCGGCTCCTTTCTTGAAGGATTCCTTCCGTGGGCTCTTGTGGGGGTGCAGCTGTAGGAGGATATGATAGTCATTGCATCCTAAGCTGTTTATGCACATCCTCCGGTTACTATGCACGCACTCTCTAATGGAGTGGGTTAATCCAGCATGTAGCATGAAGACAAAGTGATGATTATTACTAACCCTTTGCTCTTGAAACGACTGACTGGATCTTTCTCCCCATACAGTCCTCTGAGGGAAAGGCTGATTATGCTGCTCTCCCAAGACATGGACCGCCACGCCGCCCCTCTCCTCATCCCAACCTCAGGACTCCTGCGACAAAACCACCATCAAGCAGAAACGTCTAACCCTCTGGGGAGCCCCGAGGCCACCGCCTTGTCCAAGGAACCTGGGTTGGAGAAAAACAGCACAGCTTCGCAGTATGAGTTGATGCCTGGAGAAATCATTATCGCCAGCTTGCTCTGGGGCGTGTTATGGTTGTCCTCTGTCTTCGGAAACTCCCTCGTTTGCCTTGTCATCTACAGGAGCAGGAGGACCCAATCAACCACCAATTATTTTGTGGTCTCCATGGCCTGTGCTGACTTGCTGATTAGTGTTGGGTGCACACCGTTTGTACTGTTCCAGTTAGCATCCAACAGATGGACATTTGGGAGCATGATGTGCAAGACAATAAGGTATTTTCAGTATCTCACACCTGGGGTTCAGATTTATGTCTTACTTTCCATCTGCGTTGACAGGTTCTACACGATCGTCTATCCACTAAGCTTCAAGGTGACGAGGGAAAAGGCCAAGAAAATGATTGCAGCGTCTTGGATCTTCAATGCGGCCTTGATGTCTCCCGCTTTCATTTGGGGGGGCTTGGGCAGAGACAATCACTGCAGATTCTTCCCTCCATATTCTTGGGACGGGGCTGTTTACAGTATCATTCACGTATTAGTGGCTTTTCTGATCCCATCGGTTCTCATCATTCTCTTTTACCAAAAAGTCATCAAGCACATTTGGAGGATCGGCTCCGAGGGCAGAACAGTCCGGAGGACAATGAACGTTGTTCCCAGGACAAAGGTGAAAACAATCAAAATGTTCCTGATATTAAATGCGCTCTTCCTCCTCTCGTGGCTCCCATTTTATGTGGTTCAACTTTGGCACCCACTTGAGACAGACCTCAGGAAAAGCGCCTTGGTTTTTTTGACAGTGACTTGGATATCGTTTAGTTCTTCGGCCTTGAAGCCTACGCTGTATTCGGCGTACAACGCCAACTTCAGGAGGGGGATAAAGGAGACCTTCTGTATGTCCTCCATGAAATGTTATCGGAGTAACGCATACACCATCACAACCAGCTCCAAGATGGCCAAGAAAAATTACGTGGGGATCTCAGAGGTCCCTGCCGGATCAAAAACTGTTTCCAAAGACACCATATATGATTCTTTCAACAGAGAAGCAAAGGAGAAAAAACTCGCCTGGCCTATTAATTCAAACCCACCAAATACATTTGTATAATTAATGCCGGTCCTTTCAAATGCTGTTATGCTTAAACAAATGAGAGAATGCTGCCACTCCTTTGAGCAGATTCCATCTACACGAAGGATTTCCATACAATTTAGCAGGGAGAATAAATGCTTTGTTTAATTGAATCCACTTATTTTATCCTACCCTGCCTTGTTTTAAAGCTACAGACTGCTTGGGAATAATTGTTTCAGTAGGCACAGACAATACTTTCGACCTTCCGCACTCTCTGCATTTGAACTTATTTTGTGAAGCCTGAACAACTAGTGCAGATCAGGCCGTTGTGTAGAAAGAAAGGAGTGGATCCAACAGGAATTTTGCAATGGAGCACTTGTTTTTTCACACCTGAAAACTGGGTTTACTGTGTTCCAATGGTCCCTATTTCCAGAAATCTGCCCCTGGTAGAATATTGTGAGAGGCATGCCAACATGTGTTCTAGTACAATTGGTTTTATTCCCATCCCCTGGATCTGTAGAAGTTAGATCTAAATGAGAAGAGAATCATTTTATCGTGTATAAACAGAAATACACAACGGTGGCCAGGAAATGCCAGTTTGTGGTTTCTGCTTCTTACCATAATTACATTTGTTGATAATAGATGGGTTAGCATTGTTCTAATAGAAACCAGGTCCACCGTAGTGGATCTGAAGACCTGCAGATTTTCATACGTGCACTCACAGGTGAGAAGTCTGATCTCCTCCTGAGTCAGGCCCCAATCAGGCCAATATTAATTAATCCTCATCAAGGGCCACAGTGTTTAATCATTGTGCTCTGGTGTATTTTCGTTCAAAATAGCTGCTGGTCAAATGCAGTCAACCAATGTATTTTATTTTATTTTTTTTATTTTATATTTCGAATCTGTCACCGCCCGTCTCACTGCAGAGTGACTCTGAGCGGTTTACAGTAAAAACAGAATAAGCATTCACTGAAATAGACGAATATTAATTAATTAATTAATTAAAATATGCTGGACAACAAACTTCCTGTATGATACTTCCAAGGGGTATTATTCATTATCGTTAGGCGTGATTATGGAGTGGAGAGAGGGGAACCACGCACCGGCATGTCACAGCTCCCTCGTGGGCAATTTCCACTCATTCATCACTGTGGAGATGCCCTTTTACCCAGTCAGAACTTGTGCCTTTAGACACTTCCGTGAGCACTTTTGGAGAATTCTCGCGGCTGGTTTATTAACACTTCAGAGTCAAGAAGTAGGTGTGTGGCCCAAACACCGTGCGCGTCAGTATGTTGTGGAGCAAATGAATTTCGGAACGTGCAGCAAATTTCTTAATTTGTGTCATTTGTACAGCAACATCACGGTATGGGCGAGGTCACTCCCCACCCGTCCCGTAGACACCCAGGGAAGACAATGCCAAGGCCTTCAGCAATAGGTACCAATTTGGGGCGCACCCTAGTTGGAAGATTTAGTTCAGGGCCAGATTGGGAAATTCAGAAGGCAGCTCAGTTTATTTTCAGGCCTCCTAATGCCACTTGGCAGCCCAAATCTGAACCACCACTGAGTACCTTCTGAAATCAATAAACAGCTGTATTATTGTAAATTTAACGTAATTCGATGAAGCGTGCTGGGTCAGAAAGGTCAGCTTTTTTGACACATTACAGTTCCCAAGATTTTTTAAAGGGAAGTCAAGGCAGTTAAGCCAGCATTAGCAAACACTTTTTTCCCTTTGCACAGTCCCCAGATCTCTCTCTGCAAGGACAAATCCTGATGATCAAATGAAATGGAAGCCAAAAATAGGCTTAACATCTCCCAGACTGATGGAACACCCAGAAAATCCCCATCCCACCCATTTTGCCTCCAGGGCCCTGCCTTTGCACCCCGCGGGAGCCTCCAGCTGTTGAGCGCTGCTCTTGACTGCTCAAAGACACCTCACCCCTGGAGGAACCCTGTTTTCCCATGCTGTGATCCCCAAAAAATCCACTCTGAAGGCCCGTTGCCATTAGCAACAGGCAAAAGACGCTCCCATCGTCTTTTCCCCAATTCTTCGGATTAACTTCAAGTCTGATCTGCAGCATAAATGCATTTGGGGGTGAATGTATCATATGCTTTGCAGCACTCTCTGGCTAAAGGTTGGTTAGTTCCCACCACCATCTCCAGGGCCCTTCAGGTCTGATTCCTGACTTGTTCCTTTTTCAGAAGCAGAGGTTTTTCAGCTTCTACGGACCCTTTCAGCCTCTTCCACCCAGACACAGTTGAAAAGGTCCCCTGAAAGCCCCCAAGCAGGGCCAGACGCCAATCGAAAGCACCCCTGGCCGATGGCCGACCAGCTTCCCATCAATGCATCCAGCGCCTCTCTGGGCCGTTGGTTCCTCGGTCAAACGTGTCTCGTGCTGTTGTGAAGCTTCTCTGGGCTTCCAGCTGTACCTCAGGAGCAGGATTTCCCCGCTTGCCCTCGTGGTTTTCTTCCAGGTGAGGACTTTTTCAGGTATGGGGAGAATGCCCCCACCCACCCACACACACGCAGTCATCCCGTCTCGTGGCTAGGAAGACAGAAGACAAAAACCCGTTTCTCCCTGTAGCCCAGCTGTTACCCAAAGAACCCGCAGTGAAGGGGCAGCTCTTAAGTGCCTGAAGAAGGAGGCAGACAGACCCAGTGCTGCAGTCAGATTATTCTCCTAGAATCCGACTCACTTCTCAGAAAACTTTCCAGAAAGAGGCTGGGAACCAGGATGTCTACCTGAAAAGGAGCCAGAGGGCCGTGTTTTGATCGCTGGTTAAGATGGCTCTAATCTACTGCTATTAAGAAATGATACGCACCTTCTTACATCTGGGTAGGCTCAGCCACAGACCAGGAGGTGGGCGCAGGAAGAAGCTCCACATTTCCCAGAACAAAGGCACAAATCAAAGGTCGGGTTTGCAAGGAATTAAGTGAAGGTGAAGTTCCTTAACGGTCTTCTTTACCACTGCATCCCGGGCAAAGGAGCATCTGGTGCTGGTAAAGCTCTGAACATTATTAGCCACAGGATGGGCTTCTGCCAGTCAGGAATTTGACTGTCCTTGTGAAACTGTGGCTCCTATAGCACAGTAGACGCTTTAAAGAAAGATCCAAGGCCAAACGCCCTTTCAGTTACAAAATTAGTTGAGCGGCCTTATTAGGGTTTTATCCCATGTTTCGTTCATGGGTTCCAGGTGCGGGGCCTTCCTCCTCCTGTCTTTCCAAAGAAGTTAAGCACCCTCCTGTAAGAAGGCAGTGGGGAGCAACTTCCACGAAGCCCTCAAGAAAATGGCACAGACGGATCCTGAAGTCACCCGGAATCGGCTCTGCTGGGAACAGGAAGAGCTCCAGGTTGGCATCAGAACTCCTATTACTGGAAGAGATTGCAGGGCAGGAATGATGGGCCTACGACTCCATCCCCCATCAGCGCAACACAACTCTTTGTAAAGTCCTAGGCTGCTGCATGTTCTTGGTGCTGTGTGCCGGCCTGGATAAAAACGAGTGAGCTCTCAATCTTCTTCTCTTGCACAACTAACGGTCGGCCCCCCCTTGCCTGCCCCAGAGGCCCCGAAGAGCAGCAAAGGACAGAAGTCCCTCTCCACCCTTCCAGAAATGTCGGCCTCCTTCAGATACAGGATTACACCCTGGCTTTGCAAAGCTGAGGCCAGCATACCAGAGCCTCGGACTCCCAAGCAGGCCTGCGAGGAAGAATTCACCATTTTCTTTAGGCTTTACGAATACTGCAATTTATTGTTTATTCCTTTTAGCAGCCAGAGGTGTGGCGTCATAGTGTGAAGAAGGAAGACTGAACATTTTACCCACATGCCATACGATGGCTGAAAATCACAATCTTCCATACAGAAGGGAAGCTTTCATTAAAATAACCGCTTTATTTTAATACATACAAACTAAGTACATTCATACTTTTTCTGTCCAGCTGGGTTTGGGCGTTTCTGGCAACTGGGCATGACGATGGTCAACGAAACGTCCCTCCTTCAACCCTAACCCCTTTTATTAAAGGACAGCAAAGGCTTGGTTACATCCACTTTAATACAAAAAGACATACTTGGGTCTCACAATAATTTAAGTATTTTGTCTCCCACAGCAAAATACACACAGCATTAGCTTGTAAGCTTCCAATATTTTTCCTCTTCCAACACACACTACTACAGACACACCGATCCCATGGAACGGAAGGCATGAAAAGTCCTGGATGCTATATTCCTTTGCCAGCCCTTCTCTACAAATTCCCGGGCCCTTCTTACCCTTTTATGCAAGAAGCAGGCAATACGGCCCCTTACCAAGAGAGAAGGCCAGGCGAGGCGAGGCAAGGCGAGGGAAATGGGCAAAGCTACTTCCGTTCCTCTCTTTCTCTAGCCAGAGAGTGGGCGGGGGGGGGGGGGAGGCCTTCCTTATCAAACTGCCCCAGGACTGCCCTGAGCAGAAAAAGAAAGACTGCAATGGTTTTGACTCATCGCTCCTATTAACAAGCAGCTCTAAACAAAGGCGCAATTTCACAAGCTTAGGAAACATGAGCTGACCACGACACTTGGCTGCTGAAGAGTTATTTCACTGCTGCTCAAATGACTAATTCACCTAGTGACGAAGCCTTGAATTTAGCGGTGAAAGAAGTAACCAATTCAAGCAGTCACCTCAATCCACAGCGGGCTAGCTGGGGCTAAGAAAGCAACAGCCGCCTCACAACAGGCGCCCGCAACGCGCCTGACCACCAACGTGGCGGCCTGCGAATGCAGCTGCAGCGAAGGAGAGGCGTCCCACACATGCAACTTCATACCCCCCAACGAGCGAGGCCAGTATCTTCACCCCACAGGCAGGCAGAGCACCCTTGCTTAAGGCAAGTGCATAATCTCAAGACTGAGATGACACGGGACTCACGGATTTCACGATTCACAAGTACCGGAGCGTCTAAACTTCACTAGTTCAGAAACAACAGAAAAAGAGAAAGGGGAAGGCGAGGATGTATCAGCCATCTATGGCGGGATATATCAGCATGCACCATCAGTGTTTTTCACACTTGGCAACTTTAAGATCCATGGACTTCAGCTCCCAGAATTCTCATCAATGGCCATGCTGGCTGAGGAATTCTGGGAGTTGAAGTCCAAGCGTCTTAAAGTTGCCAAGTTTGAAAAACAGTGTACTATCTATATATATCTATAGATATAGATATATATATATCCTATGCATAACAGGCTACCTCATGAATAATAAAACTCTATTTCTTTACTGCATAGTATCTTCCTTAAATAAACACTACATGAGTAATGAAAACAAAATCAAAAGCACAATTATAGGCCTTAACACAACTGAGGAGAGTCTGCTCCTTCTTCTCAGCCACCTTCTACCCACAAAACCAGCCCCAGAGTTTCTATTACATTTTGGAACAGACTTGGGGTTGGCATAATCCTGGGCCATTCTTCCTCTGTTTCAGCAGATATTCCTTCACGCATATGTTGTTTTATTAAACCAAAGTGGATTAAAAAGATTTATTTCTGCCCTCTTGCTGTTAGGCTCATGTTGAAAGTCAGCTCAAACTCCAACTGCAGTCCAGCCAAATCCTTGATGGACAATACAACCAAGGACAGGAAACTTTACATTAAGTCTGCAGATTAGTGAAGTTTTTTTTTAAAAAAAAAATCAGCTTGTTTTTTAAATACGGGCTTCAGTCTGCTTGGACTGACCTTCACCCTGGAAGAGAAAAGAAACACATTTGTACGTCAGAGTTTCATGTGGTCAACCCCCAAGTCTGCAAGCGGTTTTTTATGGCCACCTAACACACGAACAGGACACGATCCTTGCTTCTGCATCTTGCATCCTGTATCTGCACGCCGGTTGGAAGGAAGAGGCGACAGAAGGAGCACATGATGGCATGTCAGCTTTTACAGAGGGCCAGACTCAGACCCAGGCCCAGCTGAGTGCCACACCAGAAGGAAGCAGCAGCCAGGAGGTTGCTCCCGAGGAGGCTGCAGCTCGGCTCATGGCCTCAGCCTGCCGGGCAATGGTGCAGGCCACAGGGCGTCTCCCCTGCAACTCCACGGTTCCAAGATTTAGGATTAAAAGTGAAAACGAGTGAGCTGCTTTGGGCCTCCAAGTATGATTGCTTAGGGACAAATGCATGCAGTTCGATCCCACCAGGGCCACACACAACTTTTATAAAATGTTGATGTCTGCACTTTTGGGTGGGTGGGCATGTTTAAGTTGGCCACAGCAGATGGAAGTGTCTGGCAACCTTATCCGAGGTCAGAAACTAAGCACGGTTAGGCCTCATTAGGCCTTGGATGGGAGATCACCAGGAAGTCCCAGGGCTGCCGTCTAGATTGGGACCTCAAAAAACATTCCAGAGGAAGGCAAAGAAAGACCACTTCTGTATACTGCTGCCAAGAAAATGGCCTGGATCTAGCCACAAATTCCCCAGGACCCAGGCTGGACTTGGTCCACGTCTAGCAGGAGACATACAACCCCTGTGTGAAAAGCCTCCGCACAGGGATGGACAGGGAGCATGCAGATTGCCTCAAGAAGATTAGCAGGCAGGTGGATACGAGACGTGCCTGAAAGCACTAAGGAAGTGGGATCTGCCTACGTCAGCCCACGTGAGAAACAGGATCATGATGTCCACAGCAGACCCATGAACACTAGAGACCGAAGTGGGAGGGTATGTCCCAGGAAGAGTCTCTGTTCCCCCAAAGGGTAAGAAAGGGCATCATTCAGCTTCTTGTTATACATTGAGCAGGCCTGCCAGGGAGGCCCCAAATGGGGTGGTCTGGCACTGGAGCATTCTCAACTCTCAGAATTCCACACATCTTAAAGTTGCTCAGGTTGAAACACTTTGCTGGTCTAGGCAAAGGAAACTTAAGTTCCAGTGCCCGTTACTGTGGCATGCGTGGCAAAGGCAGACCAGTGACAGCAACGGCCATGCTCCCTACACTCAAGACCACTAAGGAGGTGCGGAGAGAGCTTTAACACAGCCAAACCACTGCTCTAAACAGCCTTCCCCCCTTGACCACAGCTGGATTGCAACCACAGGACAACCATCTCCTGGGAACCAGATCATGACAAGTTCTTTCTTCTTCTTTTTTTCTTTGGGCACACTGCCTGCCTCTGTCCATGGCCATAATGAAGTTAAGAATTGCGTAAACGGGAACTTACAGGAACTGTGGCTGTTGGCATCACTCTTTACGGCTTTGGCCATCTTGCCTACATTCTGCTGAGGTTTATTTTGCTCTTCTCCACTCAGGAGAGCTTTAATTTCAGAGGGGATTTTTCCTTGATCCATTGCCATGCACCATTGCTTGTACTGAAAGACAAAGACGTAACACAAAATAAACATTAAACAGTATTCCAGGGTTTTAGAACTTTGAGATTCCCAGGATCCCAGGGATTTATTGATCCCTCATAAATAAATTTGGAATAAATTATACTTCCGCCCAAATAAATCCTGGTTTCAGCATTTTGCACAGGAGCTATAAGAGCAAGATTCCAGGCAAGGATTCAATAACCTGCAAAGTTCTGTGCTTTTCTTTAAAGCAAATAGCAGGAACAAGGAAACAGTGTAAATGCTGAAGAAGGATGCGTGTAAAAATGTATGCAAATCTGCACAGTATCTGCACGCAGCAACATTCTGCTTTTTCTGACACTGAATATCAGCTACCATCATCCAGGATCTTTAAAGGTCAAGCAGGCGCAACTTGCAAATCCAGGGGCCTCCCTCCGGCTTTCTGGCTCAACATTTATCTCCTGTTTCCAATAAATTCTATTCAGCTTTTCGAGAAACAGTTCTCAAAGCCACTTGCATAGCTTTGTTGCCATTATCCATAAAAATGGACAATGACAACAAATTAAAACTTCTGCCCTAGTATCATGTGTTCTTCCTTGAGCCATGAAAGCCTCAGCAACAAAAATGGGTCTCAAGCAGCTCCCCGCCTTCACGTGCCCCCCACCCCAAGCAGTGGCTGCAGGGCACACAGGGTACACCACAAGCTGAGCTGCTGAGCTCTTGGCCCAGTGCACAGGAAAGGGGCAGGGCTCCTCCTTATTCCCCCACATGCTATCGATGGCTCCAGCTGCCTGAACCTTGAGCCAAAAATGTTAAGGGTCCATCAGACCTCTAGAGCCGTGTGCACTGTTACCTGTGATTACGTTAGGTAACAAGAAGCTGAGAAGGTCTGCTGGTGTAACAGCTGGCAGGAGCTCTGTTTAGGGAAATGAACTGGGGGTGGGTTGTGGGTATGTACTACTGGCCCCCCAACCAAGCAGAAGAGATAGATGCAGTCTTCACAAACCAGATGGCCAAGGTGTCCAGGAAGCACACCAGGGGTATAATGGGGGATTTCAACTACCCTGACATCAACTGGGAATCAAACTCTTTTTTTGATGGCTTTTTGCCCACATCAGAAAGGAAACTGAAAGAAGGGGAAGGAGGGGAGGGGAGGGGAAGAGGGAAAGATTACCATTTCCAGTTCTTCTCTAAGAGCACAGATGGCTCTTTCTCGGCTTGAAACCAGCTCTTCCAGATACTGGTACCTCAGTTTCTTCCTCGCTCTGCATTCCCTTGCGCTCTGCCGGCTCCTCTCGAGTTTGGCTTTCAAATCTATTTTAGCTGGTTTACGGCCCCGTTTACCTGGTTTCTTCACTTTGCCACCAGCTACCTAGAAAAAAGGTAATACAGCCTGTCATAAAGGATGTACGCACGCAGGTTTCCCTGGAATGACTATGAAAAAAGACTGAGCATCAGAAACTAGCGATGAGCCAGCCTTGCCTGAAATGTAAACCTTTTATTCCAGCTAAATCTAGACCAGCGTTTCTCAATCTCAGGAACTTTAAGCTGTGGATGATACAGTGGTCTAGTATTATGAGAACGGGGGAAAATATTTCCTTATCCTTTTCCCCAAAATCCATAATTTTATAATCCTCTAAGTCAGTGTTTCTCAACCTCAGTAACTTTAAGCTATGTGGACTTCAACTCCCAGAATTCTCCAGCCAGCATGTGGGAACAATCCTAGAAGTTTTGTTTGTTTGGGTTTAACCAATATTTATGCTATTTTTAATTGTTTATATTGCTCGTAAGTCACTTTGGAAGGAAGAACCGTTACAATAAATAACAAATAAACAATTAGGACTAAGTTGATTCCCCTAGGTCCTGAAACAGAGCACTGAAATAAAGACATCATATATAGGAGGATCTTGGAAATATTTTCACTGTAATCTATCAGAAAATACCTAATTGCTTCCAAAACTGAGTGCTGAAAAACCAGATTTGAAAATTTGATGCAAAGGCTGCCTGTAAGCAATGGTCCTAAACTAGAAGTATTAAACCAATTGCTTACTTTACAACCAGTTCACTTTACAAAATGCTGCAGCTTATTAATACACGTATACATTTCTGAAATCTCAAGACAATTAATTACTGTAATCAAAATCACAGAACTATTTTGCACCAGTCACTTAGCAAGTGCAATTGTTTTTAAACTGTGATACAATACTCTGCAGTTCTAAAAGTTATAATTTTGGTAAATTAATTAGCACAAACATTTAAAAACAACATATGCTCTACCTATTATGTTACACAATCCAACTGTTTCAGGGAGAAACTATCCTGAGATTTTGGGTTACATTTTTTTACATAAACATTTACATTTTCTTGCTGACATGATAAATGTATCCATGAACTCACAAGGAAAAGTTCACTTTTAATGTTTAGAAATATTAGCCAATTTGTATATCCTGAATAGTAAAGTTACAGGCACGCTTGACAACAAAATCCATGATTAGATATTGGAAAGGCATAGATAATCTAAGTAGCCTGGCCAAAAAAACCAAAAATAGGAGAAATGCTTTCAACTGATATTACACACATTTCCAAAATCATCGCATTGTCTCCCAAAAATGACTTTACCTAACCCACAGTTGCACATTTCTAAGGCACCGTTTATTCCCCTGATTTTAACAACAGGCCCACCAGTCTTTCGGTCAGTAATAAATGATCTGAAGCCACGATGACAGACTCACACAACCCCTAAGGAGGATCTGAGCTGGTGAGCATTTGGATGGGAGGCCACCCAGAAGGCCCTGAAGGCAACAGCCGACCACTTCCCTGCTGTTGTCACGGAATCAGCCTGATCAGGATGATGATAATGACGATAATAATAATGATTTGTTGCTTGAGCAGGCGCAGACTCTGCTGGCCTCTGTGCAAAACCTGCACAGTTAGGCATGATTCGTCTCTGGATGGGAGACCACCAGGAAATCAAAGACACATCCTGCAAGAAGGGAAGGCCCAGAAGGGTCTTTGCCGTGGGCAAGGAAGCGGCACCGAGTCTTCTGACTCAGCCGGAGGGAATGTTTATCCATTTTTTAAGCAGGGGGTTACTTTTTTCCTACAAAACCAGGGGGATCACGGAAGACAGGCCGCAATGCAGCTTCTCGCCAGCGAAAGCCCTCCTTGCAGGCGGGAAATCCCCGGGGGCGGCTGGAGAAGGGCCCGCCTGCTGCTCACGGGGCAGGACCGGCCCGCTGAGTCCTGGACGGGGCACCACCAAGAAACCCCAGGGCTGACAGGAGGCGGCGGCAGCTGGGCCCTTCGCTCCGCCCGGCGAGGGGGCAGGACCG